TGCTGAAGGGAGCAAGAACAAATGATTGGGGATAGAGAAGCACAAGGAACCATTTATTGTGGTTAAAAGATGAAATTCATGCCCAATTAAAAATTGCCTAATTTAATACCAAAATGAATAACTGGATCCACTAAAGGATTTTAATTAAATACATCTGACTTATCTTATACTAACAGAACAACAGGCTACTTGTTGTTTTACTATGATGCCATTTGCTAATACTAAAAGCATTATTTTTCCCATATCAAACTACTGCATAAATTGGGCAACATCTTTCTCCAATGACTAAGCCTTATTACAATGAAATACACATTATTAAAAACTGTCAGCATTTAAAAGTTGCACTCATTTCTTTTAAAAGAACAGTTTAAAGAACGTATGTCTTTTTTATATGATTTAGCAAAAAGATCCTTCTTCCAAAAAGAAAACAAAAACCGAAATAGCATCGGGTTAAAATGGGTGATGTAGGAAAACAGAACATAACCCTTTTGGAATCCTTCTCTCTGCTCTTCGGGGAAAAAGGAAAAAAAAAAAGAAGAGAGAAAGACCTCAAAAGCATCACCTTGAATAGCAGAAGTGACCTAGAAGTCTTAACAAAGATTCATCAAAGCATCACCAACTGCGTTCACACATCAACAGAGTTCCTGCCATACATGCTCGCTATGGACAGAGAAGAACGTGTATTATAAACCTCAAGCCTGGAATACAACATAAGAGATATTTCCTATGTTTTTTCCATTAATATTTCTTCCTCTCTCAGTGCAAAATAAAGTTTACCTTTTCCCTCACCATTTACACAGTCTTACCTTCCTTGACGCGATAAAGCATCGTCAGTGTGTCATCACTAGTCAGAGCCGTGACATGTAGGTTATTTACTGTTGGCACTTGGTCAGCAAGAGCTGTCAGTTCATGAAAATGTGTAGCAAACATACAGAAAGCACAGATTTTGCTAGCAATGTATTCTGAAATAGCCCATGCTAAGCCAAAGCCATCGTAGGTAGACGTTCCTCTTCCCAGCTCATCAATGATTATCAGGGAGTTTTCAGATGCTGTCCTAAAGACACAAGAGCATTTTACAATGTTTGAGAACAGCATGAACTCTGGATACTGGAGTACCACAAGTTATGTTGTAAAGGCACAGCATAAAAGAGGCAAAAGATCTTTCCTATTTACATAACAGCATATGAATAAAGTGCAGTGTTACATAGATCATTGCAAATTAGTTTCTTTGTCCCATCCAGATTTTAGCCTTTGGTGGCAGCTCTATATGACCATTCAAATAAACAGAAGGCTACTTCAAGAACTTGCGAGCCTGCTAAAAAGGACTTGAGATCCTCCATAAAAGGAGATCTTAAATACATCTTTCTTAGAGCACCTCCTTTCCCATCAACCCCAACCAACAAAATCCAATAAGCACAGGACTTACCTAAGGATTGAAGCAGTTTCTAACATTTCAGCCATGAAAGTAGACACGCCTTTCAGCTGACTGTCTCCAGCTCCCACGCGAGCCAGGATACAATCCACAATGGTGATTTCTGCGGAGTCACACGGCACAAAACACCCTATTTGGGCCATAAGAACAATTACACCTGTCTGTCGGATGTATGTTGATTTTCCTCCCATGTTCGGGCCTAAAGAAGATATTTTGCAAATGAATTAAAAAAACCATAATCTTTTACAATTCAACAGTTCTTTTAAAGGAGAACAGGCTCTAAATTAAACCAAGAATGTTTAAACTTACTACTTTCTTGCCAGGGAAGAAGAGCTACCAGACCTGTCCAACAGGTGCAACAAGTAGCTCTACTACTACTAAGGCTTGATTGTATGTCTTACTGAATGCTATTTTTTCCAAAAGAAAGGTGATCAGAGAGTGTTAAGGGCTTCATAAGTTCTGGGAATTTTCAGAGGTATAAGCAGTCATCTAAAACACATGTCCATACCTAAACTAATAAGCTTTAACTTGTAAGTCATCACCATTGCCGCTTAAGAATGAAAATAATTTGCTTTCACCTCAAACAACTACAATTTGCCCGTGAGTGAAATAGCTTAGTTACAGACCAGGTATAAGCTAACGGGTGATTTAAATTACAATCTAAAGGGATTCTGAATCAGCAAAACCAGATTATTAAGAAGTTAATTTAACTGAAGTACAAATGAAATAAGAAGTATTTTCCAGAAAATTGATCATTAAAACCGATTTTATCCTTTTGCGAATCAGAAAAACAAGTGTGTTACCAGGCATTTATTCAGACTTCTAGTTTTTCTTTTTGATTATGTTAGAAGAGTTCATTAATCATTCTCTAATTTCAGGTCTTTGCTACTCAGAATGTATGTCAAGGACATCTGGATGGAAATTAAAATTCAATTAAATGTATAAACACTAAAAATGTTTTCCTGTGTAGTAAAATTATCTTAATTACACCAGAGAGTAGAGGAAAAAAAGGGTATAGTCAATAAAACATGTTTTGCATTTAAAATCAACTTTAATACAAAACAAAGAAAACACTAACAGAGAGGCTGCTTAAAATCTTGCCCACAGAAGGTGCCTCCGTGGCTACAGTACAATTGATGCCTAGTGGAATTTTCCAAATCACTTAAGCAGGTTTAGTTTCTCCAGCTCCTGAGGCTGCCTGGCTTGTGGAATTAAGATGCTCTAAGGCAAAGAACACATATTAATTTCTTATTTCCTTCTGTCCTAGCAGCCCCTCTCTTCTTCCCAAAGGACTATTTCTGAATTAGCAACCACCTTCTCTAGCGCCCTATAAATACAATCACAACAACTAATTCCATGACTGTTAGTTTGGAAGATGAGAAATATGTCTGTATGTACATAAACATGTAAAATACCCACTGTCAAAGGAAACATTTCACAAGAACATTGTGGACACTATTTTTTTTTAATGTAATAAATAACGATAGCTTATAAATACTCTCCTCCTTTTCCAGAGTTAAATCTTATCCCCCCATACAGAAACATGAGTAACTTGCTAGACTGATCACCTTTTGTTGATTAGAGAAATTGTTTTGACGGTTTGACCAGGCTGCTGGTTTTTTTGCTTACAGTTACTTTTTCTTTTTTCTCCAAAGACATGATTTCTGGAAATACTGGAGACATTTAAAACATACGGAATGTTTTAGAGACATTAAAAATACAAAAACCATACAAAATGACAAATTAAAAGGAGAAAAGAAACATTACCAGTAATAATGTGGAACATCTGCTTGCCCTTCTCAAACGTAACGTCATTGGGGATGAAGGCCACCTCATCTTGCACTTCGATGCAAGGATGCCTGGCGCCTCTCAGCACAATCCTTCCCTGTCCCTTCTCCAGAATGACAGGACGTACATACGGCACTGGTGCTCCATTTGACACATGAGCCAAACTGACAATTGCATCTAATTGAGCTATCACATCATTCATCGTCTGTATTGGTTCTGCATAACCTGGTTTTGATTAGAGAGATAAAAATTCAACACAGAAATTCTTTTGCTTTTGCTGAGATATCCCAAAGCCTACATTGAGCCAATAAAATGAATTCATCTGCATTAAAAGTCAATTTTGTTCAAGACAGCAGTCACCATCTGTGAGAGTCTAAGATGCAATCCTAAAGTTTCCATGCTTTGACTACAAAGAGGACTTCTTCAGACTGGGAAAAGGAATGGGTGAGGCCATGTTATTTGTTGTGCCTTAACGCTAGGCAATGCAAAACAGCTTATCTTAGCACAGGAAGGCAAATGCTCACAATGGCAAGGTGGCTGGAAGTCCAGTAATTTTCCTTCCTCAATAATACACTGCATTTGGATACTCACACAAGCAAAGACAATAGAGGCACAGCAGTGACAATTCAGACACAGCAACCATTTGTGTGAATGAAGGTATGGAGAGGTCTGCAAGACACAGCACCTGTGACACCAGGCAACTAGACTAGATGCCCCAGGATCCCCAGTACTAGTTTTTAACTTTTGGTGTTTGTTTTGGTTTTTTTTTCAGCAAAAGGGATGAGGGACAGGAAGAAGTCTACAGAGGTAAACCATTTAACACCTGCAGATGGAATGCATGTGTAAGAGATGAGCAGTGACCTGCGGAAAGAGTCTTGTACAAAGTGTGTTTACTGTTCTAACATCATCTGTTGAACTGGCTAGGTATAGATCATTAAGAGGACTTGAAGTCATTTTCATTCAAGAATTGCACACATAATCCAGTCTTTTCCGTTAAATTGCCTCCATTTGAGGAAGAAAAATGCTTTTTAAATATACACACACACTTTTAAGTCTATGACTGCACACCACAGAAGCTTGAAGCAGCAAACGACTTTCTTAAACACACTGGGTATTTATAGATGACATATTGAAGCTAATCCCACTATATAATACCCAATTAGCTTTCCACATAAATACACAAACCTTAGTATGCTACACACAAAAAACATCACTTGAAAATTACCAAGATACAAAGAAAAAAAAATCTAGTAAACTACCCATTTTGCAATATACTGACAAATTCCTTACCATGACAACAGGTCAAAGCTTATGAAGATTTCCACCATAACTTAATAGACACTCAAATATACTAATAAATCATATTAAAAAGTGCTTGTTTATCTTTAATACATTTAACTTTAGGTTAATATTCATTAGCACTTTCACTTTCCACTTCTCTTTCAAAGAACTAAGATTTGTTCTGCCAGAACTAGTGCCTTTGGGAGAGACAATATTTACAGGATCCTCCAGCCCAAATTCCCCAATGTCTCTTCTTGTGGTAAAGGACAGTAAAGAATGCCCTGTAAGTAGGCAATCTGGGAGCAAAATATATGGAAATTAATTAGGAAAGCAATATTTTTTTTAATTGTACCACATAAGTGATGACTAACTTGATCTTGTATTGCACACCAATGTTCTTTCTTCACCAACCTTCACAGACCTTAAGCCCACTCCCTCAGTTCTCTATTGTCCTTTACCTCTTGTGCCTTATATTTTGTCTGCCATCTGGGTGGGGAAGCCCACAGTCAGGGAGGTAGGTGGAGGAGAGATGTGGCCTTTATGGGCATATTTTTGTCCCTTTTATGGGATTAGCACTTGCATACACCCCATCACTGCACATTTGTAACAATGCCAGGAAAGGGTCTGACTATATTTCAAACTTTCAACAACTGTCTAAAAGCCAAACCTCATTTTTCACACTAATTCTTTGGAGAACATTATGGTTCTTCTCTATAGAAGGACTTACAAATAACTGCAAGTCCTCCCAGCATACCAAACTGTGACACACTTCAACACTGACATATTCACCTGAAGCAATGTTAATGATTTCCTTAACAATTGCATCCTGAGCCTCTTCATACTCTTCTCTGTTCTTTATATATTCATCATTGACGGAGCTCAGTTTGCTGTGAACAAAACCACAATATTTAGATGCTGTGATGTTCTGCTTTCACTGCTACAACACCAAACTTCTGGCCTCCTCATCTACAAGTCAACAGCAGTTGTGCCCACCTGTTTTAACTGCAAGGTTCAGCAAAAGACCATAAAGCAATTAATCTACGATTCATCCACACCAGGATATCAGTTATATTAATTTCAAGTTGAATCACCCACAAGGGACAAACCAGCAATTCTAGCATCTCTGAACACATCATTCTTAAAAATCTTACAGCAGTTAGACATGCTATGTAATAAGGACTTGCTCTTAAAGCTGAATTTCTGTCCATTTTGCCACAAGATGTGGTACACTACAGAACTGGCAGAGGAGAACTGCTGCTAAGCAACTGCAATTAGCCCCAAGTCCTATAACAGGCTTATCAGAGCTGAAGGCATTGATTTTTTTCATTCAGTAAAAACCTCAGTGAACTACTGTCACTAAGAACAGGTTCTAGTCTTCAGATAGAGTAAGCTGAAATCACGAGAGAGTTTAAACAAGTGTTTATTCTTCTCAAGCTCATCTACAAGCACGGAGCAGTCTGCAGGACTGAAACTGTGTTTCATACACACCCAAGTGAAGTGCACCCATACTATAAGCAGAATTCAGCCTTGTGCTTCTAATACCATCTACAGAAGCAACTCTAACTTAACTAAGCACAGAGAAGTCTGCTTTATTAGTGATCCACGGGTTTCTTCCCTAAAGGAAAGTAACAGATGACACTTAGCGTTCTAAGTACCATCTTCTCAGTTACAGAAAAACCTAACTTCATTACGTTTAGATTCATAACATATTTAAAATGAAAAAAAGCTGATTTAAATTTCAGGAATGTTTTGAAAAAATATCCTTCGAGTAAATGTTAAAACAAAATGCAATTAAGATTTACACTTTGTTCATTTAAGCAAATTGGTGTGAAATACACCAACATATTGGTTGGTGTGAACCAATATGTTTGCTCTCCTTTTCAAAGCAAAGGATTTATTACTTAAAGTGAGTGATTAACAGAAACAGTCACTATTAGTAATAGCACTGACTTGAAACCAACCTTACCCTGTAGGCAGTGCTCCTCATACATGTTTGTCAACCAAGATCTATCTCAAAAAACTTACTTCTCTGATGCTAACGCCAGCAGGAACTGCTACACATAAAGCGATAGCGACATGGTTTGTCTGAAACAGACTGTTGGATGCATTAATCTCTGCTATTTTTACCCTTCCATATATAACACATGCAGGAGTCTTAAAGACTAGTTTTCTCCTCAACCTGCCACTGTCGGACAAGGAGGAACTTGTCAGGGGACTGAGTCCAGTTAGTGGCTGATTATTAGCAGCATTTCTTAGGGTTGCTACTAGGGCTGATACTCTTTATGCCTTGTTTAACAACCTGAACAATGGGACTGAATGCACTCTCAAATGCACTCTCAGCAAGGTTGTGAATGATATCACATTAAGGGGAGCTGTCAGTACGCTGGAGGACAGGACTGCCATTCATTGGGACATCTACAGGCTAGAGAAACAGGTGGACAAGAATTTCAACACAGGGAAATGGGAAATCCTGCATCTGGGATGAAATAAGTCCATGCAACAGTACAGACTGGGGTCCAAATGGCTATAAAACAGCTATTTGTCAAAGAGTTGGGAGACCCAGTGGATAAGCAGCTGAACATGAACCAGCAATGTGCCCCTGGGGCAGAGAAGGCCAAGCACATACTGACTGCACTAGGAAAGAGCATAGCCAGCATGCCCAAGGAAGTGACTCTTCCCCTCTATTCAGCACTCATCAGACCACATCTGCAGTGCTGTTTCCAGTTTTGTCTTCCCAGCATAAGAGAGACATCGAACCTGGAGCAGATGGCCACCACAGATTTAGAGCTGGAGCAGATGGCATACAAGGACAGGCTGTCCAGGCTGTCCTGTCCAGGCTGTCCTGTCCAGGCTGTCCTGTCCAGGCTGAGAGAATCTGAAGTCAGCCTGGAGAGGAGAGCTGTCAGTTTCCTCTCGGAGATGCACAGTAGAAGAATAAGATATTAAAAACCCAATCTTCTCCAAGGAAAATATTAATTAGATCTGCTGAAGAAGGTTTTGACAAAGAGTGGTTCAGCCCTGGAACTTGTGCCCCACCAGGCTGTGAAGGATGCTTGGAGGATGCACACCTGTTCAAGGTCTTGAGCTACCTCATCTAACTTTCAGATAGGATCTAATTTCTGAGGTTGCTCTGCTTTGAGTGAGGAGTCAGAGAAGTTAACCTCAAGAGATTCCCTTTAACCTAAGTTATTACCTGATTCTGCATATGCAACTTTCTACTTTGTTTGGGCTGTGTAAAAATAATGAAGTACAGAAAGAGCAATATCTGGTCACTGAGGTAGTCCTTGCTCCTTCTAAAAAGCTCTAAGAAAGCTAAAAACAAAGTATAAACTTTTTGCATTGCTGACCTGTGACAGAACTGCTGTCCAGACAAGGACAGCACTGAAACAGCATCAATGCAATTAGGCTGAATATTGAAAATTTTAAATAGTTCAATCTACAGAGCCACAGAATGGAAGTTCAATACATAGGAAATTACAGCATAATTTGGAACCAAAAAAAAAGTAATCATCAACACAACTGCTGCATGTCACATTCGGTGATAAACATGAATAGCTCTTTTCCTGTTGTGAAAGTGTCTGTATAAACACTCACGGTGAATGCAATCAGGCTACTAGGTGCAGCTAAAACAGAGAAATTAGCCCAATTGAAAGGATCAAAAATAGCTAACAGTTGGCAAAGTAAATGGGGAATGCAGCCTTTAACAGAAACTGTATGACTACTCTTCCCTCATGCCAGTCTTGCTCAATATCTCAATCTGCAAGCCAATTAAAAAGGTGAAAATTAAGCCATTCAAGATGTA